ACAGGGTTTCTCTGTGTAGTTTTGCGCCTTTCCTGGAACTCACTTGGTAGCCCAGGCTGGCCTCGAACTCACAAAGATCCGCCTGCCTCTGCCTCCCGAGTGCTGGGATTAAAGGCGTGCGCCACCACTGCCCGGCTTCAGTCTGCTTTCTTTTAACACCCAGAATCATCCTAAAGGTGGGATTGGCCATAGTAAGCTGGGCCCACTCACATCAATCCTTAAGCAAAAAAAGAAAAAAAAAGAAAGGAAGAAAGAAAGAAAGAAAAAGAAAATGCAATACAGACTTGCCTACAAGGCAAGTTTTATAGAGGCATTTTCTCAATTAAGATCCCCACTTCTCAGATATGTCTAGGTTTGTGTCAAGTTGACAAAAACCAACCAGCACGCTAGTATAGGCTCATCTCCTACACTGTACTCAATGGCTTAATCTCTTCATTGCCAAGTTCACAGGTTAAGGGCAGTATATTGACCCCTTGGAATAACTTACATTTACATGTTTGAAGAATAGTGTGTTCCACTTAAAATTTCTGTGAGTGAAGTCAAGAGAGTCTATTAAAAGGGTATCAAGGATTTATTAATATATAAACCAGGGGGAAATACCCTTATGGATATAGAACCAAGTAAACAGCTGTTGTTGTCCTCCTTTCTGCTGGGAGCAAATAGATCTGGCTGTCCAGTCGCCAGTCACCCCAAGAGAGCAACCACACACCCCTTCTCAGATTTTAAGCACTCATGTAACTTGCCAAGAGGCCATGCCCTAAGGTTGGTACTCCAAAGCTATTGACAGAATGAATACCTACAACAAATTTCTGACTTTAGGGCTTTTGGATAAAATGTCAGATTGGAAGCTTCCTCACTGAAAGTTGGTGAAAGAGAACAATGAAGATAAAATACAGTAAGTTCTTACCTGCAAGGGATGGGGTGGGACTCTGGAGGAAAGCAGGAGCAGCAAGAACACAGGTGCAAAGCCTCTCCATCAGCACCAGGAGGACCCAGAGGAGGGCAGGAGTCTGTCAGCAAAGGACTTACAACCTCCCTCACACAGAGAAGCTGCAGAGACCAATGGCTCCTGCTTGCCTTTCTACCACACAACACCAAGCAAAGCCTGTCTATAGTCAGGAGATCTGAGAACTTTACCTTTCATCTTAGTTTAGCTGTGCCAGCAATCCATGTCACAAGTACTCTGTTCATTTTGTTTTACTAATTAATCTCCATTCTTATGTATGTCTCATGATGGTTGCTTTGTCTGTATGTTGCTCAGTTAGGTCTGAGGGTTCCTGGGTATGTTTCCTCACCCAGTTTACCACAAGGCATTCTTTTTTATACCTTTTCCCTATCTCCTATACTTCCCCACTTATTCCCATGTCTTTTCCTCTTTCTCTCGTCCTTATTCTTTCCTCCTTTTATTTCTTTTCTTTTTCCTTTCTGTTTTGTTTATTTTGT